TCTGACAAAGAAGAGAATGCAGAGGGGAAGAAAGAGCCGAGCAAGCCAGCCACGCTGCTGTGGTTGATCCAGAAGTTGTCTCGGATTGCAAAACTAGAAGCTGCGTATTCACCTAGAAACCCCTTAAAGGTGCGGTACATGTACAGAGTGACTCAACGTGGTGTGGGTGTGGGTGTGGGTGTGGGTGTGTGTTAATATTTTAATGGTGTTTAGTGATCCTCCCAAGTTCCTAAGAACTTTTGCACCCAAAACTGAGGCAGTAATATCTTCCCCCAAACGGACCTTGTTTCCTGTATTATTATTTGTATGGCTGGCTGCAAGTATAAGAAGAACACTTCTGATGTGTATTTTCAGAGAACATGCATCTATAAGTTTCTCGGAGCTGTGGCGATGGATCTTGGAGTAGACAAGGTGAAGCCGTATCTCCCAGAGATCATAGCTCCTTTGTTCCGAGAACTGAACAGCACCTATTCGGACCAGGGTAACCGTAGCCCCTCTTCTGAGTACTTTGCACCTCCCTCCTGAATGCTTCCTCTCCCTTTCTGTCCTCCCTTCTCCCTGCCAGTTTATGTTAAGAAAGAAAACTTGCTGGGTATCAAGATAATTAATAGCAAACAAATAAGGCATTTTGTGTTGTATTTGACTAACTTGGTTTTGCTTTCTTGTGTCTAAGAGTGAACGTTTCCTAAAAGATGTTTTACTCCTAGGCATAAATATTCAAAGAAAACTATAATTTGGAGTGGTTCTAAACCTCATGGTGCTGTATGAACAATATGAACTGTGAAATAATAATTCTCAAGAATTATAAGGCAGAAGTGTAAAATAATATTCAGTTTAAATCTCTCCCTTTTTCCTGTCAGCCTCACTGATTTTAAAATACCTATTTTGCTAATAAGAAAAGAGGGAATTGGGGGTTGGAAAGAGAAATTAAGCAGATGTTAAAAAGTTTTAAAATAAAGCAAATGAAGTTAATGTCAAAGTAGGACCTGCTGTGGTCCTACAACCTTGAGAGTTTCCTTCCTCTTAAAGAGGCAAAGCAGTGGTGAAGGTCAGGTCTGCTTTGGTTCTCATCAGCCAACATGTATGAGCACCTAATATTTGGCAGGCACTGGGAGTTCAACAGTGGAAAAAAGGCCTAGTCCCTATTTTCAAGAAATGTGAACAGGTACAGTGAAATTAATGCAAAAATCTGGGTTCTTTGCATTCGGAGAGAGGAGGCGGGAAAGCTTTTCATCAGCTTCACAAAGGAGTCTTTAATCCACACACGAGGAGTTGGGCCAGAGGTAAGCCTCTGTGACCTGTGAATGAGCAAGGGCCTGGAGAAACACACTTACCTCCCCCCATCTGCAGAGCTGAACAGGTTATTCAAATGTAACAGTGTTGTCCAGTTCTCAAATTAATGTCTTCTGAGCCAGGATTCTGCTAGAAAGTGGGCTTCATGGTCTCTGGTCTCTCATTGAATCCTGGATGAGATGGTGGCTGGGAGCTGTGTCCAACACTTCTGCTGCTGGTTTTTTCATCTCAAGTGTAGGGGTTTCAGATTAGCGTTTAATGTTCAAGTAATAAAAGTGATAATGCTGTTAAGAGTTTAAATTTCGCATGTTGTTGATTTTGTAGATATCCTTTCCAAGGTAACTGTCTCTGGTTATTATTCTGTGTGTGAACAGATCCTTTGCTGAAGAATCTATCCCAGGAAATCATAGAATTACTCAAAAAGCTGGTTGGGCTGGAGAGCTTCTCATTAGCCTTCGCCTCAGTACAGAAGCAGGCTCACGAGAAAAGGGCACTTCGGAAAAAGAGGAAGGCTTTGGAGGTATGTTTGCTATTTGAAAATACAACATGGCGTGTTCGTTATGCTTAGTGACTATTTTTAACTAGGGGTGTGTGTGCACACACGTGTCACACTGACCCAGTGAGGAAGAGGAACTAGCTGTGTTTGAGAAGTGTGGACGTTCTAGCTGGGGCTCCAGATTTTCTTTAGTGGGATCATACACATTTGTGATGCTTGAAGGTGAATGAAATAGTCCATATGTACATCTGATTTTTATTAGTTTAACATTTCCTTTAAAATTAATAGGAAATTTCTATTCTGTTTTCAAGTTTGTCACTAATCCTGACATTGCCGCCAAGAAGAAGCTGAAGAAACACAAAAGTAAAAGCGAAGCAAAGAAAAGAAAGATTGAGTTCCTGCGTCCTGGCTATAAAGCCAAGAGACAAAAGAGCCACAGCCTGAAAGATTTAGCGATGGTGGAGTAATGTGCTCCCTGTGCAGACAGTGTCTCATGAGCTTTCCAGTATATCTGCTACTCAGAAGTCACAGCAGATGTTTTTTATTATTATTTTAATATATTTTTATTGATTTCAGAGAGGAAAGGAGAGGGAGAGATAGAAACATCACTGATGAGAGAAAATCATTGATCAGCTGCCTCCTCCACTCCCCCTACTGCAACCCTTGACCAGAATCCAACCTGCGACCCTTCAGTTTGCAGGCCGACGCTCTATGCATTGAGCCAAGCTGGCAAAGGCAGTTTTTATTATTTAAGCAAAACTTTGGCAGAGATTGTATATAATACAGTTTAATATAATCATGCTCTTATTTTTTTAATTAAAACATTTTATAATACTACTGTATCTTCACTGTCTAAAAAGCATGCAGTACTAGCAACAGATTTTTTAAAAAGTTTTAAGATACACTAGTATTTTAAAACAGCAAAACAAAATATAGAAGTTAGGGGTAAGTTAATTATGATTTATAATACCCTTCTGTTGGAAATTGTAATACTTCATCAAAAGGACATTAGGAAAAATCTGCACAAATATGGAAATATAAACATATTCATCGATAAGAAGATTCAGTATCATGAGGCTAGTTCTTTCCCAAGCTGGATCCCACTGATTAAATGAATAACTGAGCAAAACCCCCAGTTCTTCATATTTTATATTTAATATATTTAATATTACTTTAACCAACTGATTCTAAATTTTGTTTTTCTTAATCCTCACCCGAGGGTTTTTTGTTTTTGTTTTTGTGAGAGAGGGAGAGAGAATGGAGAGGGAGACATTGACTGCCTCCCGCATGCACCCTGACCAGGCCCAGGGAACCTGAAACCAAGGTATGTGCCCTTGACTGGAATCAAACCCGGGGCCTTTCAGCCTGCCGGCCAATGCACTATCCACTGAGCCAAACCAGCTAGGGCTAATTCTAAAATTTATACAGAAGATAAGCTGAGCCATTATGCTCTTAAAAAAGAACAGAGTGTGGGGCTTCTCCTGTGAGTTATCAAAAGTGAGATACAGTGCTATCCAAAGGAGAGACATGTGGTAAATTGTACTTCATTATAATTAAGACTTCTACTTAGAAAAAGACTGGGCTATGGTATATACTGATAAAGGGTTATAACCAATCCCTGTGAATCAACAAAGATAATCCAATCAAAAGTGGCATTGCACAGAAGAAATACAAATGGTCCTTAAACATTAACAATTAGCCAATATGTTATATTCTTAAATACTAAAGTACTTAGGTACTGGTTGGTAAACAGTCACTACCTTGAGACCCCTATGTCAGAAATTAAAGGGTTACTATCTATCCTGGTAGGGGGTCCTCCTACGTCAGCTATGTCTAGTTGTTCAGCGTTTTTTAATCACTCCTGTCTGTATTCAACCTCGTTAATTAGGAAAATGCAAATTCCATTTAGAAACCTTCAGATTGATAAAGCTGACAATGTCAATGTTGGCGAGCATTTTATTATTTATATATCTGTATTATCTATATATATAAAAGCCTAAGCAACTGAATGACCAATCACTATGATGTGCACTGACCACCAGGGAGCAGACGCTCAACAAAAGAGCTGCCCCCTAATAGTCAGTGCACTCCCACAGTGGGAGCGCTGCTCAGCTGACCAACCCGTCCGTCCCAGTGGCCCACCAGCGCAGTGGCAGCCACTCACTCCCTCCCTCAGTAGTCCTGCAGTTCCAGTCTCTGAAGAGCAGGCCAGGCACCAATGGACCCGCACCGCTGGCATGATCCCAATAGTGCTGCTGGCCTCTTGGAAGTTCGCCTTGGGCTCTGAGGCCGCTTCCCCTCCCTAAATGCTGGCTCCCGACAACCAGCGCAAATGTCAGTGGGTCGGATCTGGATCCCATGCTGGCAAGGCTGTCCCACGCCGCCCAGGAGGCCAATTGTGTTTTGTCCCCACCCCCCCCTCGGGGCGGGTGCCAGACACAGGGCTCTCCTGATCAGGACTAAGTGGGTGCAAGCCTGTGGCAGGCACAGTGGGGCTGGGATGAGCAGGAGCCCCAGGCAGCGTTGGACTGCAGGTTTCCGCCCGATCCCCACAGGCACCCCAAGAGACCCCACCTGTGCACGAATTCATGCACTGAGCCTCTAGGATAATGATGGGAGAGTAGTACAGCATATGGCATCTGAATCAAATGTTCAAACATAACTTCAGCACCTATGTTTTGATGTAGATTGTGTCTCAAGCAAGAGTTCTTACACTTCCAAGGAGTGTGTAATGTGCCAAAGGAAAAATGGGAGGGAACTTGGAAGGCCAATTTCCATTAATTTTAAGTGATTTAGAATGCACATATTGCTTTATTCAGTTTTTCAAAATTAAAAGTAACAGACAAAATCAGAACAAATACCTCAGGGATATCGAGCACAGCTTTGTTTTAATTAGTATTTATTGAGCACCCACTGGGTGCCAGCTGCACCACACTAGATGCAAGGGATACTAACAGTAAATAAAGCAAGGTCCCTGCCCTCAAGGAGCTTACGTTTCCACAACTTAAAGTGCATCTCAAGTATCCTGCTGACATTTCAACCACTTTCAGTGTAATCACGTCATAGCATACCTACAACCAGTTATAGAACAGAATGTTAAAACTAAAACATGCCTTTGATATTATTTGTCCAAGTCTCTTGTTTTTTAGAGAGAGAGAAAAAAAAAACTGAAGGAATGGCCACATGTGCCTAGAATTCATGGGTTGGTGTGGTCTTTTTTGTTTTTTTAGATTTTTATTAATATCAACATTCAACTCCTGTAACATACCTGTATAGTTGTTTCCTGCCAGACCAGGCCTTATAATTCATACCATATTAAAATAAGTATATGCTCTTTTATCCCATCTTATTCTTCACAATAAACCAGCAGGATCAGGATCATCTACATGCTGAACTTGGCTATAGCTTCCTGGCCCCGCCTCAGAATTTAAGATGGTGAGGGCCATATGCTGGACAGCACCTGCCCGTCATGGCCTCACTTCCCATACTTCTATTTTCACAGTGATCCTGAACTTCTCCATTTGACACTGAAACCAAACAAATTAGGAGTGGGTACTGGAAAATAAGAAGAGTAAATCCCACAGGCAAAAAGAGAAAGCCACATTCATTAGAGTGGAGAGAATAACCAAAAGTGTGAGGGAAAGGCCAGAGGCCAACATTTGGACAGTGTCAGGGACAGGAAATGAATCCCTAGTGTTTCTGAAAGTTGAGGGGCACAGTAGTACTAAGCTCACTTTACCAGCATCTAATATCTTAAATGCTACCCAACTTAAAAAATAAAAAAACTTCTCCCCAATTTTAGTAGTTCCTGAGGACTATATTTACTTCTGTTACACTGGAGCTAATTCTGTGGTAGAATGGGCAGTTTGAAAAGTTCCTTTGACCATAATTGATAGCCTATGAGTAAACCTAATTTCTAAAACCAAGAATGCTCAATTTCTCCCTGTGACCAATGAAATTTTTACTTCACCAATCAAATTTATATGTCCAATTACAAGTAGATAAAAGGAATGAAAGACAGTAAAAACATCTTTTATAATGCTTAAAATATATCTTTATTTCCTTCAATGTAAATTTTTTTTAATGTGTTGTGAATTCATCAAATATAACCATTTAGGACTATTTTTACTACCTCTACTAGTATGGACAGATAAATTTACAGGCATTATTTTGAATGTACAGTCTACTTCAGTTAGCATAATTTTATGTAGGGAGTTATAGCAATTGAACTTACATATGGTGAAGTTCATGGGACAAGCTTCTGATCCTGAAGTCTCACTTTGAGCCCGGCTCCCAGCTTACTAGCAGTTGGGCAAGCCAAGCTATCAACTCAAGACTCGACACGTCCATAAAACAAAAACATTACGTTACAATCTGTCCTATCTACTAGTACATCACAGGGTTCTTGACTGAATTATAAAATAACTATTTCAAAGATACATCAGTAATTATTTCAACTTCATGCCTATAACCAAAAGCTTTAAATGAAACAGTTTAAATAAAGTGGTTACTGAGCAAATGAAAACTATATCACTCACTATGTTCCTAGACTACTCTATTTAGAGTTAAATTTTTTGAAAAATTTAATTCATTTTAGAGGGGAAAAATTTGAGCTAAGGTATTTATTAGTGTTTATACAAACAATCTGCAACCACATTCAAAAATAGGTTTTTTCCCCTCCATAAGAGTGCATTCTTTAATAAGACTGTATTTGAATAAGAATTTCACACAAATATAATATATACCTTAATAATACAAGAAAGCAAGGAAGGAATATTTACATCATACAGACCAGTCAGTTGGTTCAATCACGATGAGCTATCCTTCCATCCAAATATTTTTTATATTTATTACAAATGTGTAGTTAGTTCAGTATATGCCAACAATCATACACAGCTCTAACATTTAGTGAAGCACACTTAACTATTTCCAAAGGGACATGGGATGTGGTCTTCATTTCAGAAGAGCAGAAGGACTGGATTATTGTCTGCTCTTTAATGCTTCAACTAACCTATAAAGAGAAAATGAATGGTTTCATAAATTTAACTTCAAACATTCAGGTATAGAGTATGATCATTTATAAACTTTATACTGGAGATGGGTTCCAAAGCACTTAAAATATATTTTTATTGATTTCAGAGAGAGGGAGAGGGAACGATAGAAACATCAATGATAAGAGATAATCATTGACTGGCTGCCTCCTGCATGCCCCCTACTGGTGATTGAGCCCACAACCTGGCCATGTGCCCTTGACTGGAATCAAAATGAAATCAAACCCTTCAGTCTGCAGGTGGACACTCTATCCACTGAGCCAAAACAGGTAGGGCTCCAAAGCACTTTAAATGATTATGGTTAAGATAGTTATATTAGAAAAATGAAGTTATGCACTTGATTTCGAAGAAGGTCTTTTAGCTTTCATTTTGTCTATGCTTTGAATGAACAATCTAAAAACCTACTTTCAGGCTGCTACTGCTACTGCAGGGCTAGATGCAGGTAATTCAGAGGTGACAACTAGTCTCAGTCCTCAAGGAGCTAATCTAATGAAATATACAAATCAATTATGAGATGATGCAACAAGTACTGTATCACAGATCTGTGACAAGGACATCGGTGTGTGTGTGGTAAGGCAGTGGGCATGGAGATATATCAGGAAAGACTCTTGAAGAGAGGAAAGCCTTAACCAAGGTCCTAAAGGGTAAGAAATTGGAGGCTAAAATAAGGCAGGAAAAAGATAGAAAAATGGCAGAATGCTTGTTTTCTAATCAGATAGGTATGGTTGAAATAAAAGCTAAAGCACATTAAGGCAAGTGGAAGATAAAGTTGGAGGAACTCAATACAAGTCACTAAGTAATATGAATTTCATCCTTAAGACATAAAGGAAATTACATGTGTACACAACTGCATACACACACACACACACACACACACGCACAGATGGCTTCTAGAAACATGATGCTTACCATTCCATTGCCTCATCAAGGCCAGTGCCTTTGGTTGCTGAAGTTTTGAATATCTGCCATTTTCGGTCCTTCAAGGCAGGTAACCCAAGTGAATTTGCCATCTCTGAGGGAGTCATAGCCTGTTCCATGTCTTGCTTATTTGCAAATACCACCAAAATGGCTTTTCTCAGCTCTTCTTCCTAAATAAATCAGAAGATATTTAATTTCCTTTCATCAATGTGCTCCCTTGAGTTTAGGTAGACATGCCCCAAATACAATATTTTAAAAGTACATTTCCTAATTATTAAGATACAATGTTCATTAAAAATTATTTTAAATTATAGAGAAGTACTAAGGAAATAAGCTTACCCCAATCCTACCTCACAAACATGGTCACTATTAACATTTTGAGTATTTTCTACAGCTTTGTAATTCAGATATTTATGGTTTATTTAGTAAATAAATTTCTATATTTAAAATTGAATTTACAGTTACATGCCCTGCTTTAAACCTAAACATTAAATCATGATTTTCCAAACAAAATTTTCTCACAAAAAAAGGTTAAACATACTCTACACTATAATTTACATGCACAATAAACTATATGACTTTTTCAGTATTAAACTCTTTTTAGATTCTTTTTACTTACCTATTTAAAAAAAACAAAAACAGGTTAAGTCATTATATAAAAATCTTTGTGTAAATCTCTATTTCCTTAACATAATTCTTTAAAAATGAAATCAAAATATGAAAACTTTTTCTGATTCTTGTTATATATTAATACACTGCCTTCCAAAAAGTTCTAAACAATTTCAATTCCACCAACAGTATATATGATAGTGCCTATTTTCAATGCAGCCTTGGTAGAACTAGAAATGATATACTTTTTCAGACATAGCATCCTATCATATGATTACTAGAGGCCTGATGCATGAAAATTCATGTGGGAGTAGGCCTTCTTTCCCCTGGCTGCTGGCACTGGCTATCCTCCGGCACCTGGGACCCGAGCTGCTTCTCTTTGGCCATCGCCACCAGATACCTAGGACCCGGGTTGTTTCTCTTTGGCTGCAGCCGCTAGGCACCCAGGCTTCGCTCCAGTCCCAGGTTCATTCGGAAGGTCATCCGGATTGACACCCAGAAGGACAGTCGATCTAATTAGCATATTACCCTTTTACTATTATAGATTAAGGCATTAAAAATGTATTATTAGCAATATATTTTTCTCTTGTGAATTGTAGTTTATGCCTTTTGCTCATCTATATAATGAGTGGCAGATATTGGTATTATTAAAAACACTAATTCTTGCCCTGGTTGGTTTAGCTCAGTGAATAGAGCATCAGCCTATGAACAGAAGGGTCCCGGGTTTCAATTCCGGTCTGGGGCATGTGACCAGGTTTCAGGTCAGTAAGGGGCATGCAGGAGGCAGCCAACTGATGATTCTCTCTTATCATTGATGTTTCAATCTCTCCCTGTCCTTTCTTCTCTGAAATCAATATAAATATATTTAAATAAATACACTAATCCTTAAGTCATTAATTGTAATAAAAGTGTCTCTGCTTCCGTTTTTTTTGTTTGTTTTTTAAATATATTTTTATTGATTTTACACAGAGAGGAATTGAGAGGGATAGAGAGTTAGAAACATTGATGAGAGAGAAAGATCGATCAGATGCCTCTTGCACACCCCCCACTAAGGATGTGCCCACAACCAGTGTATTCTTGACCAGAATCAAACCCGGGACCTTTCAGTCCACAGGCTGACTCTCTATAAACTGAGCCAAACCGGTTTCAGTTCTGCTTCCGTTTTATCTTAATTTATATTGTCTGGCATCTGAGCTTTGTGAGTTTTAGTTGAATAGGATTAAATCTATCTTTTCTTTTTCTTTTGTAATTCTTTCCAATCCTTTGATTTAGAAAAAACTTTTCTATCCAGAAATTTTAAACATACCTCTTATATATTCTTATAGTTAAAATCATCCACGATTTAATGTTTAGTTCATTTTTTTAAAGCAGGTATAGAACTATGTGTAAATGTGACTTTAAATGTATAAATTTATTTACTAAATAAGCTGAATTAGAAAGCAGAAGAAAATACCCATTTTCTACTTTTTTTTTTTTTCCACTCCCTGGCTGAACTGCCATGTCTCAAATAAAGCTACCGCCACCATCTACTCTTTGCCCAGGGGAAGTGAAAACAAGTCAGATCTCAAACCTCCTTCACTCAATGTCTCCCCATTCATAATACAAACCAAAGAGCCTGAGCTGAGGTGTATATGGGGTAGGTTTACTCTGCCTCCTGTTTCTGTACAGTCAGTGTAAGCACACAGCCTGTCATTTTCTACATTTAAGTCTTTACTCCATTTAGAATTTATTTTTGTGTATGAAAAAGGTAAAATAGTTTTATCAATAAGTTTTAATATAATGGTCAAGTTACAAGGCTGAATTTTTATTTTTATTTTTTGGGGTCTACAACCATCTACCCAACAATATTTCTGGAGTAGGAAATAATATGCATAAAAGAAAATTATAATAAAGGCATGGAGGGTGGGAGACATCCCTGCTCTCCTTTTAATTATTCCTGCATATAATAAATAATGGAAACAGCAAGCAAATGTAAATGTTTTCCCCACATTTTAGTAAGATTTCCTTACCTCCAACATGGCAACTAACTCTGATTTGGAAATGCCAATTCGGTCTCGGTCACAACTGTCTACTACATAAATGACGGCATCTGTGTTTGAATAATAACATCTCCAGTATGGCCTAAAGAAAATTCAGAAATAATAACTATGTTATTATTTGAAAAGATTAAACTGCTATGTTAATTTCATGCAAGGCAGGTACTAGTTACCTGCCAATATGGTCCCACCCATGTTAGAATCACTACCATAATGATGCAGTGTTTCCAATTGATACATATCATATCCCTCAGACATGAAGATGGAAAGAATATTAATAAATATTAAATCACAGAAGTTCAAACTTTAGGCTGAGAAAAATCTATAACCGATAACACTAAAAAGTTGTACACAGACCTGATCATTATCCTATACAATAAAAGGCTAATATGCAAATTGTTCCTACAGGCAGTTCAACCATTCAGGTATTAGATGTGCACTGACCACCAGGGGGCGGCACGAAACATGGTAGGCATCGGTGACGGGGAGGGGAGGCCCCCAGGCAGGCAGCTACCAGGGACCCTACCCATGCACAATTTTTGTGCACTGGGCCCCTAGTATCTTATAAACCTTTAACTAGGAATTAAGAGGAATGGGTTCCTTAAAAAATTTTTAAGTAACTTTATGTAATAGGCATTAAATTGATCACTAAAGATGCAAAGGAGTCAAATGCATAAAGTTAGAAACAGAATCAAAAGTGCTTTAAGAAATAAAACACGTTAAAAGGAAGCAAGACATTTGGGGAATGCACTACTAATCTTTTAAGGTGGAATCATAGTGAGCAACCACCAACAGTCACCATACATTTCCAGTTGCCACATCAAGCACAGAATGCTGGGCAGGAGACCTGAGTTCCCCCAAGCATCTATGTTCACATTAGCCCCAAGCAGTGGGCCTGAAAGGCATTTTTATGAAATTTAAGACAGTCTGTCTCACAGAGGAAGGGGTTGGCCAGAACTAAACGGAGGACTCTTTAGTAAAAACATTAAATCTTGAGAGTCTCATGAAAACATGTTTTATTTAAGTGATAGCTGAAGAACTGGTTTCCTTAGATTTAATTCAGTTGAGAGAACAGGCAGGTTTACCTCATTTTAAATTAGGTAGCTACTCAGCCATCAGAAAAGATGAAATACTGCCATTTATGACGACATGGATGGACCTTGAGAATATTATCCTAAGCAAATAAGTCAGTCAGGAAAAGCTAAGAACCACATGATTTCACTCATGTGTGGAATATAAAACTGCAACTCACTGACAAAACAACATATACTGATTACCAGAAGGGAATGGGGGAGGGGGAAATTAATCATTTGCCTGCCATAAGCGTCTACAGACCAACTTTAAAATCATTTTTTGTGAGAATTTTCAACTGAAAATATTCAAGAACACCCGATTTATAATATATTTATTTTTATAATATTCATTGCAAACTGATTTTTTAAATTAAATTCAAAATATCATGGCATGTGGGGATGGTTTCTGTTTTGGACATGTGGCAGTTAACTGGTTAAAGGAAAAAGGGGGCCAAATACATAGTGATGGAAGATGGTCTGACTTGGGCACAGAGTGCAATATACAGATCATGTATACAGAAATGTACACTTGAAATCTATATAATATTATTAGCCAACTAGAGGTCCGGTGCATGACATTCATGCACTGGGGGAGGAGGAGTCCCTCAACCCGGCCTGCGCCCTCTTGTAGTCCAGGACCCTCAGGGGATGTCTGCAGAGCGGTCCTTAGTGCTGCCATGGAGGCAGGAGAGGCTTGTCAGCTGTGAGCCCAGCTTCTGGCTGAGGTGTGCTCCCCTGTGGGAGTGCACTCACCACCAAAATCTGTTCAGCTACTGTGTTGAGCGTCTGCCCTCAGTGGTCAGTGTGCATCATAGTGATGGTTTGGTCTATTTGAATATTAGGGTTTTATTATATAGGATGTGCCCCAATAAATTTAATTAAAAAAGTAAAAAACATTTTTCAAGAAAAAGCAACAACCACTAGGTGCCTTCCATTTAAATTACAAAAAAAAAACAAAAAAAAAAACCACAAAATAAATAATCTGATCTTTGTACCATACCTGATACTGGTCTGTCCTCCTAAATCCCAGACTTGAAATTTAAGGTTCTTGTATGTTACCGTCTCAACATTAAATCCAATGGCTGGAAGATAAATCAGTAGTTTATGTAGACACTAATGCATTCTTATCTTCAAAGTACCCAATCTAATTGAGTTTCTGCAACAAATGGTAACTGTTGAATTACATTAGTGGTTGAGATATTCCATTAAAGACAAGTCAGTATGCTGTGCTATACACACACACACACACACACACACACACACGCATACACAATAAGATCAGCATCACCTTCAGATTATATAATAATCCTCAGTCTCCTCTGCAAATACGTAGGTAATTTTTAGCTCAACATAAGTCCTATTATGTTAAACTCATAATACAATACTAACATACAAAAGTGTTCAAAAAATATATTTAAAAGGACATTGTAGATGTATTTTAAAATCTGAATTTTGGCAAATAGCAAATAAACAGAACAAAATCAAGAAAGCACAGATTCTAAACTTCAGTGGGTAAGGGCACAACAATGGCTGTTATTGCTTTATGGAAGTTGGGTTCTCCAATGCTGGCAATTTCACACACCCTCTGCAAGACTTCCTCAAGCACTGGTCTGTAATAAGGTCATAGCTGGATGACCAAAAGGAAGATCTCTCATCCCTTTTCTCTGCCATCCTTCTTAGGTGGAGCCCTGACACCACGCAGATAAGGCAGGATACCACTATTTTCATTGAAAGGAATCTAAGAGAAAGTGCAAAGGATGCTAAAGAAAATTAGGAGTGGTATATACAAAGTTTACTATGATTTTATAAGCTTAAAAAAAAAAAGCACAGTAAAAACTGACAGGTGAGCTGAACAATTTTTATTTTAGACTTAGTTTACATTGGTAAATGATTCATATGTGTATATACCAAGTGTGCTTATTAACTAGAAATAACTATCCTATATAATAAAAGGGTAACATGAAAATTGACCCTAACAGCAGAACAACCAGCTGCTATGATGCGCACTGACACCAGGGGGCAGATGCTCAATGTAGGAGCTGCCCCTGGTGGTCAGTGCACTCCCACAGGGGGAGCTCCCCTCAGCCACAAGCCAGGCTGATGGCTGCGAGTGCAGCTGCGGTGGCAGCAGCCTCTCCTGCCTACGGATGTCCCCCCGAGGGCTCCAGGGCTGCCAGAGGGATGTCTGACTGCCAGCTTAGACCTGATCCCCCGGGGAGCGAGCCTAAGCTGGCAGGTGGACATCCCCTGAGGAATTCCAGACTGTGAGAGGATACAGGCTGGGCTGAGGGACCTCCAAGTGCAGGAATTTTTGTGCACCAGGACTCTAGTACTATTATAAGCAGCCAGAGCAAAAAACTAAAAAGTTCATAATGTCTCCCTTAGACTTGGGTAGGTGTGAAATCACCATCTTCACCAAGATTAGGAGCATAGTTTCTATGCAAAGAACAAGAGTGTGGTGTAGCCCTAATTGGTTTGGCTCAGTGGATGGCGCATTGGCCTGCGGACTCAAGGGTCCCAGGTTCGATTCTGGTCAAGGGCATGTACCTAGGTTGTGGGCACATACCCTGTGGGGAAAGTGCAGGAGGCAGCTGATCGATGTTTCTAACTCTCTCCCTCTCCCTTCCTCTCTGTAAAAAAATAATTATATATAGTGTGGTGTAAATCAGCTTTCACTGAAATGCAATCCACTGGGTTATGTGCACTGCAGAGATGATGACCAAGACAGATCCAACAGTGATGGGCAATTTTGAGAATCAAAAAACAAGGGAACTGAAACTTATTGAAGGTGGCAAAAAGAAAAAAAGATATCAGTTTCAAAAGTCCTTTCATAAAAGCTAGCCTTCTTTTTGTAATTTTAAATTCAAATAGTACTAAAAAGAAACACCTTGAATGACTGAGCAACGTTAGAGACATAATTTACATACTCTTAAACAGCTGAGCCAGTGGGGCTCAGTGGTTGAGCGTTGGCACATGAACCACGAGGTCATGGTTCGATCCCCAGTAGGGCAGATGTAGGAGGCAGCCGACCAATGATTCTCTCTCATCACTGATGTTTCTGTCTCTCTCCCTCTCCCTTCCTCTCTGAAATCAACAAAAATACATGTACATATATATATTTTTAGAAGTGTTATCAAGAATATGCTCATACTAGAAGTTTACAATATCCTTATCAATTACTTTATTATATTATTAATTAAAAATAAAATTATGTTAGATAGAAAAGAGAAAGCTCTTATAACTTTTCGTACTTACTAGGAATAGTAGTAACAACCTCTCCAACCTGTAATCTGTACAAAATTGTAGTTTTTCCTGCTCCATCTAATCCCAAAATTAAAATCCTCATTTCTCGGGTTCCAAATAGACTTGAAAATATACTTGAGAAAAAGCCACCTAAAAAAATAATAAAAGCAAAAAATTTATTAAGTATCATTTTTTTAAACTGGTCCACAAAACATTTACTCTTGCCCCTTGAAAGCTACATCAAATTTAATATTATTTTCCTGGTTTCATATATGTGTATTTTTGCTCCCACTGAAACATGTTATTCAACACAAAATAAGTAAATTATTGATTGTTATCATGTTCTAGATAATGTATCAGACAAGTACAGAAGATACAGTAAAAATAAGAGATATATGACCACCGCCCTTACGGAGTTCACTTTTCAATAAAGAGAATATGAGCACCTTAGCATGATCTCCCCATTACCCCTAAAACCAAAGGGCAAATCTGAATGACAGGGAAACAATGAGATCCTTGCATAGGAAATACAATTATCATTGCTGTACAGCTGCAGTATCATCATAGTAACACCTTTAATTGATAAGATTTCTATTAACAAAAAAACAAAAACAAAAAAAAAGTGAGACACAGAAGCCCAAAATAAAAACTATTCTTGGTAAAAAAAAAAAAAAAAAAAAAAAAACCTAATTAAAAAACATAATGCTAACATTTCAATGCATCATGAAATATTTCCAGAAAACTTCCTATAGCAAAGTACAGTGTAACAGAAAGCACTTGTAACCAGAGAGTAGTGTGGTTACTGGATGTGGAGGAATAGGAGAAAGGAAGAGATGTACAAGCTTTTGTTGAAAGATGAACATTTTTGAGACCTATTGTACAGCATGGTGATGAAGGTTAATAATAATGTAGTTTACACTTGAAATTTGCTAAGCAAGATCTCCAGAGGTTCTCGCCACACACACACACACACACACACACACGCACACACACGTGCACATGTGCTTGCGCCACACACAATTATGTGAAGTGATGAATGTGTTAGTTTGACTGTTACTTCACAGCTATGCTTATATCAAAATACCATGTTGTACATCAAAATACACACAATTTTTATTTGTCAATCATCAGTAAAGCTGTGTGGGGTAATTAACATTAAAAAAGTCCTTCTAGAAATGAATTGTGTTTAAGTAAAATAAACCTAAAAAGTAAGGGATATGGAAATTTAGAGTCTTTATTATTCTAACAACAAATAAAGCTTTAAAAACATTTTTTTTCTTTTATGTTTACCAAAAACAAACAAGAAAAGCACTTTGGTTTGACTCTTTCCCACCGAAAGCCATTATATTGAAAAAAAAAGTTACATTAAACAGTATTTTAAAAATTGAGGACAGAAATGATGCCACTCAATAAGTGGCTATTTGACAAAGAAATGGCACAAGTTAAGAGCTGCGAGTCTGGAAAAATGAGCACATGGGCTAGAGAACCTTAGGAAAGTGTAATAGAAGGGGTGGGAATTGACAAAATTCTTTCTACCTTTTACAAGTATATATATAAAATATATACATAAAATATATATAAAATATATATAAAAGTACACACACACGTGTGTGTGTGTGTGTGTATACTTTTTTTAAGGCGGAAGAGCAAAACTGAGGGCGGTTATGGAAAAAGACAGAAAAGTGCTTGCGATGTTCCAGGGCAGGAAGTAAAAAAACTCCCTAGAAAACCGGGGAAGGATTTAAATAAGCCAAAGACTTCCCATCTCCGTTACAGAGCTGTAAGCAAGCGCAAGCATCTGTCATTTCCTTCTGGACTCTTGCGAGGGAGGAGGCTTCATTGTACCTGCTGCTTGTGCTGGCACTCCAAAATCTGAGATCACAAGCCCTGCACTCACCAGACCCTCCCCACCTCCTTCCCCCGCTTCATTCCCTACACGAAACGCTACAGAGAAGCAGACACACCGCCAGGAGGCCATGGGACAACACGACGAGCCACACCTCCCTCTGGATTCTTTAAAACGGACGCGGTCCCAGCGGCCAGGAGGGAGGAGGACCAGCTTCCACGAATGGGGTCAGATCTCACTTTCCCCAAGAACCCTCAGCGAACCTGGGGCAGACACTGCCGAGCTCTGCAAGACAGCTCAGCCCCGCGAGTCCACCTGGGGCTGAGGAGCTGAGGGGAAAGTCCACGGTCCGGGGAGAGGCCTCGGGCGCAGAGCCGGGGGCTCCCAGGACGCAGCCCTGACCCCGACCCCGCTCTGGGGACCAAGGAAGGGAAAGGGGCGGGGGCGGCCGCTCCAGGCAGGTCCACCCCCCCCACCCAGGTGAGGGAGATCCCAGCGCCCCACCCTGTGAGAAGCCGGCTCCTCAGGGTGCCCAGGCCGGCCACCCCCTCTCCTCCGCCCGTCCCCAGCCCGCGGCCGCAGCCCCTCCTCAGACCCCCTCACCCATGATGAAGCGCCTGTCCGCCTTCGTCGATCGTCAGAGACAGGCCCCGGACTCGGCAGCGACTCTACTGGATCCCCGGCGCCGCCACCTCCGCTCGTCTCGGGCCTCCCGTGGCTCGGAGGCGGTTTCCTTGGAAGCCTCCAGTCAGCCAGCAACTTCCACGTCGGCCACCCGGCGTGGGCGGGAGGGAGGGAGGGAGGGAGCGGCCGCCGCGCCTGCGCGGCGGAGAACGGCCTGTGCGTCCGCGTCGTTGCTTTCGACCCAAGGCCGCGGCGCGCGGGGTGAATAAGCAGTGCGAGAGCCAGAAGGGGGGAAAAAAAAATAGCCAAGGACCCAGAGTCTCTTCTGCTTCTGTTCCCTCGGACGGAAAGGACTTCCGAACCACGGAACGTGGAATTTTCGTTTTAAATTCTAGCTCCAAGATGTGGCGAATCCGTCAACCAGGAACGCGAGTCGGGCTTCCTGAAGCAGCGTCACTGGACGCGCGCGCCGACGACGACGACGACGACGGCGGCGGCGGCGGCGGCGGCGCAAGAGCTGCTGGTTCTGAAGCGCCCGGCGGGGGCGACTCCACGGAGCCTAGGTGCTTTACCGATCAGGCAATAGGACGTGGTAATAATAATAATAATAATAATAATAATAATAATAATAATAATAATAATAATAATAATAATGATAATAGGGGGTCCCCTCTGCCACCGATGCGCCGCAGCCTTACACCTAAGCCGCCGACTGCAGATCTTTGGCGTCGCCAGCTTCAGAAGCCCCGCCCCCTTTCGTCCACCTGACTGCACACCTGTCCGCCCCTCCGTGATTGGCAGCGTGGACGGGCCAGTCCCAGTCCTGGGCATTTGGGTTGGAGGCCTGCTCCCTGGAGGGGCGTGGGTCGGGAGTCATGTTGATCCTGAAAGCAGCCACACTTGGAGGATGGGGAGAAGGGAGACTAAATTTTTTATTTTTTATTAAGGTCCTCATCCCCCTATTCCTGTCTCCCACCCCTCCCCACGCAGGCCCCCACTCCCCTGTTGTCCTTGACCACTGGTTAGACTCCTATGCATGCACACAAGAGACTAATTTTTTTTTTTTAAAAGGCTGAGCATGCGTCTTAAAATTTCGTAAAGATCCACGGAAAACTAAACCTGTCCCTAGCCCCCTCCCCTCATCCTGCAGTTCTCCCTAGAACTAACCATTGTTAACATCTTCTTGGAGTCTCTTACCAAATGTAATATTTACATATTATGTATTTAGTTATCATAGAAAGTGTTCATCCATTAAACAAGTTTATGGACTGCCTGTGGGGTTTTTTTTTTTTATTTCTTTTTCTTTTCTTTTTTAATATATTGATTTTTTTTACAGAGAGGAAAGGAGATAGAAGCATCAATGAGAGAGAAACATCCATCAGCTGCCTCCTGCACAACCCCCACTTAGGGATATGACCTCAACCAAGGTACGTGCCCCTGTCCGCAGGCCAACACTCTATCCACTGAGCCAAACCGGTTTCGGCGGTTGTTTTTTTTTGTTTTTGTTTTTGTTTTTGTTTTCAATTTTCAGATCTCTCCAGCTGCCTAGACATTGAACTACATTTGCTGATTGCTCTAAACTCTCCTTCCTGCTCCCAAATCATAATTTCACAGACATTTTTCTTGTAAGGAAAAGGTATGGGGTTTTTGTTTGTTGTTTTGGGTTTTTGTTTTGTTTTGTTATTTGAGAAGTGGGGGAGTTGAGCGACTCTTCACCTAAGCACCAGGGCTTTTTAAAGGCTGTGCTTGGTAAGCATTGTGTCGTGCAACTTGTGGACCTCGGCATGCTGTGATTCCACTGCGCTTTCTCACCTTTTCTTCATCCACCTCGAGTCCTCTCCTTGCCAAGATTTAGCGTCTACCTTTGGCACATCTTGGCCACCAGTTCTTCAAACTTATATCCATTTCAGATTTATGTTTCCATAAATTGACATAGTTCCCTGAAAATAGATTGCCCAGTAAGAACTAAAAGGAAAGATACCGCAAACTACGTTCACATTGTATATTCTGAACCAAATAAGCAAGTGAGATATATGTAAGGATGCTGTGTAAACGGAAATGCTATAAACATATTAAAAAAGTGTTAGTGCTCTGAAACCAGTTTGCTCAGTGGGTAGAGCATCGACTTGTGGGCTGAAGGGTCCCAGGTTCGGTTCCGGGCAAGGGCATGTTTCTTGGTTGCGAGCACATCCCCGGTGGGGGTTGTGCAGGAGGCAGCTGGTAGATGTCTCTCTCTCTCATCAATGTTTCTAACTGTCCCTCTCTCTTCCTCTCTGTAAAAAATCAATAAAATATATACATATATATATATTTTTTTAAGTGAAAGTAAAAGCACCTTCAGGAAACAAAAATAAAGTGTTATTGCCCTGGCTAGTGTGGCTCGCTTGGTTGAGTGTGGTCTTCTGCACCAAAAGTTCTCCGGTTTGATTCCAAGGTACATTCCAGGGCACATTCCCTAAGGGAGTGGGGGAGGCAGCTGATTGATGCTTCTCTCTCACATCAGTGTTTCTCTCTCCCTCTCCCTCTCTCTAAAATCAATAACAATTTTTAAAGTGTTGTTGATATTACTAGATAGCATACTAGCCTTTCATAATGTATATTAAGCACCTAAATTAAAGTCAATGTGGACGCAATAGTATAAAAAATAAAAACTGTTCAGGCAATTTGATGAAGAACTTTATTTTTCAAGATTTACCCAATTCATTCTTTGCTTTGACTGTGAAGATCAGATCTAATTTCCTGGATGCATCAAAAAATTCTCCATTCACTGAAAGCTTTGATCTAACAACAAATCCCGAAATATTAAGATAGTGTTACCCTTTTAAATTTTCCTAGAGTGGGTTTGAGATAAATTTTTACTATTTACCATGTTTAAGGCCTTAATACTATACCTATGAAATATTCTAAATCAGTCTCTGATGATTTCTAAATTTTAGAGGCACTTATTAACCCAAGTTTGCTTAAGACGGAAAATTAAAATGGTTTCAAAAAGTTCTGAGCCTTAGCCGATTTTGCTCAGTGGATAGAGCGTCAGCCTTCGGACGAATGTTCCATTCTGGTGAAGGGCATTACTTCGGTTGCAGGCTCCTCCCTGGTCTGGCAACCTATGTAGGAGGCAACCAATCAATGTATTTCTCTCACATTGATGTTTCTCTGCCTTTCCCTCTCTCTTCCACTCTATAAATAATGGAAAAATAGCCCTAGCTGTTTGGCTCAGTGGATAGAGCATTGGCCTTCAGACTGAAGGGTCTCAGGTTTGATTCCGGTCAAGGGCATGTGCCTTGGTTGCAGTCACAACCCCAATGTGGGGTCACAACCCCAATGGGGGGTGTGCAGGAGGCAACTGATCGATTTTTCTCTCTCGATATTTCTAGTTCTCCCTCTCCCTCTCTGTAAAAAAATCAATAAAATATTTTTTAAAATAACAATAATGGGAAAATATCCTCAGGCAAGAATTTTAAAAAGAAAAAGTGCTGAGACAAAATTATAAAAAACAAAGTCATAAACAGTTTAGAGAAATCTAGCTAATCTTTGTTGGTAATGACATTCCACCTCCACCTTTTCTTTCCTTCTCTCAGTTTTCAGTTCCTAAGACTAGAGTAGTTCTTACTTTAACAGGAACACAATTTTCAATGTGAGAATGTCATAGTAAGGTGGTGAAAAATAAAGTAACGACTGCCATTTCATGTATTTTTCTGAACTATCTAAAGACAGCCATTATAATCTCTGTAGTAGGGAAGGTGCATATCTATAGGGCAGCATCATTTCTCAAAATGTCATTTCTATTCATATTGGTCTGGTATTACATCTCCTGCTTCCTAAAAACTAATACTTGAGGAAGCAACATTTCAGCAGCATAGTAAAATTAAAGTTAAATATTTAGGTTGGAAGTCTATGAAAATTTTTTCTTCAGACAAACATATAGAATTGACCTCACCTCTTTCTAGTCTTTGCTCAAATATCATCCTATTTAAAATTGCAACCTATTTGCCTGTCCGGTGTGGCTCAGTGGTTGAGTATGAACCCATGAACCAGGAGGTCACCATTCAATTTTAGGTCAGGACACATGCCTGGGTTGCAGGTTCGATAACCAGTAGGGGGCGTGCAAGAGGCAGCTAATCAGTGATTCTCACTGATGTTTCTATCTCTATCAATAAAAATATTTTTAAAGTATTTCTAAAATTACAACCTACTCAACATCCCTATTATCCTGATGTTTAATACAACTTCCCACTAAACATATTATAATTCGTTAATTTATTACACTTAGTATTTGTTGTCTACTTCCTTTCACTAGACTATTACATCTATGAATGCAAGTATTTTTTTGTTTATTTTGTTCTTGTACTGGGAACTAAACATAAAATATTGAGATAATTTTTTTAATTATAAAATAAGTTCCTAAGCCCAACGTCATAAACATTAGTTTAAACATATAGCATGCAATATTATTAAACTTGTTTTCCTAAAATAGGCCTATCTGAACCACTTGCCCTAATTTGACAGGAAAGGCCAACCTATCCTTTTCGACAAAGTTGTCATTATCAGAAGAGAAGCCACCAGGTGGTGCTATTGCTTTAGACTAGTTCTCAGTAGAATGCAATCAATTGGTCCAATTTAATAAACGTTGAGTGGACGATGTAATCCTTTTCAAATTTTATGATTAAATAGTAATTTACTGAATTTTACAGTGTGTTTGAATGCAGTCTGAGCAAGTAAAGCGATTGCAACCACCTTTGACTATAAAGTCGCAATAAGATCAGATAAGTTCAAAAATTTTAAACTAGAAGGAACCTCCATTCCAACCACCTCAACTTCAAATAAAGAAGTAGAAATGAGCTAAGTGATAAAGCCAGGAGAGCAACCCTGATTATTTAGTTTCCAGGCCTGAAATAATCTATAATAATAAAAGTGAAATATGCAAATTGACCAAATGACAGGACAGCATAAGGACCTTCTAAACAACCTTCCAGGATGACCACGCTATGACACCCACTGGCACCAGGCCAGCCAAGGCGGGTGTGATGCAGTTGGTCAGGGGCCCAGCCATCACCCCATGATTTCCCTGTAGACAGAGGTCCAGGCAACTGGCCAGCAGGGCTATCAATCAATCGGGGGGCTCCATAATCACCCCAAAGAAAGAGGCGCAGGCCACCAACCGTTAGGCTGTGGCAGGTTGGTGGGG